CACGCACGCACGCGCACACACACACACACACACACACGGAGAGAGAAAAAGAGCAAGAATTTAGATCAAGGAAGTTCTTAAAACAAAATCTATATTTTAGGTCTGTTTTCAATAGGATGTTTGGCCTAGAAAATAATTAAATTCCACCTTGGACAGGGAACAGAAAAGACAAACCTCACCACTTTTAAGTGAATACCTGCAGAAAATCACTAGACTTGCTGTGAAGTTACAATTTTAAATGAAGTAAAGAAAGATTCAATATGCAGAAATGTAAAATTGCTTCAAGAGAAAAATTGTTTGCATCTTTTAATAAATAAACAAATAATATATATATGTATATACATACATACATATATATATATATATATTTTTTTTTTTAGAAATTCCAGCGTTTTGTATGCCGAAAAACCAATTGACAGGAAGTTTCACGTCTCTGGCTTCCTAGCTAAGTATCCTCTGAGACTTGAAATACCTTTCAAAATGTGCTGTCAATCCTATCAGGTAATTTTTTGACTGAATTGACCTGTTATTTGATGAATTACACTGTTTGAAAAGATTGTAGATAACAATCAAAGTCTGTTTTGTCACCCCCATCTCTCCAGCATCAGAAAAACTCTGGTGGTTAACAGATTTTTAAATGGATACAATAAATCAATAGGAGGATGTGTCACACATTGGGAAGAAATCAGGAAGTAAGGAAAACCAACACTGTGCAGTGATAAAGCCATATATGGGCATCAAGAAGGAAACAGGAAGAGAAAATCCAAAGCCTGAAACTAGATCTATCCCCAAACCTTTCCTTACTATCTGGAGAGCATTTACCAAGCAAATAGTCCTACAACTTAAGTCAAAACAAAATCTATGCAGAGACTACTGAGGTTGCTGAGTGTGCTCTAGGAGAATATACTTTAAATTATGCAACTAAATATGGATCATGTTTCAAAATCCTGATTCATTAACTCAAATATTTATTCACTGCCTGCTATGTGTAAAGAACTAAAGTGGAGTTACAGGAAGAGAAACTAAAATTAATACAATATGATCCTTGCCTTCAGTGGACTTATAGTCTTAAGGCAAAATGAGAGTGTGGTGGTGGTGCATGCCTGTAATCCCAGCAGCTTGGGAGACTGAGGCAGGAGGATCATGAGTTCAAAGCCAGCTTCAGCAATTTAGTGAGGCCCTAAGCAACTCAGCAAGACCTTGTCTCTAAATAAAATATAAAAAAGAGATAGGGATGTGGCTCAGTGGTTAAACACCCCTTGGGGGTTCAACTCCTGGTACCAAAAAAAGGCTTTGAACAGATAATAATAAGAGACAAGATGAAATCAATTTCTTTTAATGGGAGTTGAAGTAACAATATAATGGGATAAAGGAAGGAATAATTTATTCCAGAAGACTTGAAAAAGACTTCACAGAAGAGGGGACATTTGGATGCACCTTAAAAATGAATAGGTTTTCAATAAATATATATCTACACCACTTTAAAGTAGCCATTGTATATTACCCCAGACAAACAATGAGATGATAAATCATTTTGAGAATTCAAGGGCAATTACCAAATGAAAAGCATACCACAAAACCCACAAAAAAAAAAAAGGAAAATGAAAAAACAAAAGATTGTTCTTATTTCCTATGGATACCTGCCCCAACAATCCTATCACCCTGGTTTGGGGGTATCAGGTATAAGGGGGAGACAGTAAAAGGGATATTTCAGCCTCAAGGAGTGATTCTGCAAAGAGTAAAAAGGCCAAGAACTTCTAAAAGAACCTTCTGGAGAAGGAAAGAGCTGTATTGGTAAATCCAACATACAGGCCTTATAGGGAGCCTCTCTTGTTTCCAGAGTAATTTAATATGGCTGCCTCATTGCTTATACCTTCCATTGTAATTATCTGTCCCCCACACACCTTGGATTAGGAACTGCTCAAGAGCAGAGATCTTGTTTTTCCTGCTTTCGGTGCATACCAAAGAGTACCTAGTTTAAAGCAGATATTCAGTAAGTGATGAATAAAAGAATGCCTTCACCTACATCACTGACAAACATACTCACAGACTGCCTATCCCAGGCAGTGTATTATGCCAGGTGCCTGAGGCATACAAAGCCCTTAAAGACTTTATAATCTATTTGGGAAGACACTTCATATGCATAAAAGAATAACCAATACAAAATGAGAAGCACTTGCTGCTAATCTAATGTATAAAAGAATGGATTGCCAGTGGAGTTCAAGAGGAGCAGTTATCCAAGGTACCATTCAAAGTAAACCAGAAGAGAGTGGGTATGCACAGAATGGGCACCCAAAAGACAAGCTGGAAATCATCCTGAAGCATCGTAGATCCTACAAGAACTGGGAAATAGGTTTTCTGTACAGAGATGACAGCAGAGCCAACAAATAAAATGGACCTGCTCCTTAGGAAGGAAGAGAAGTAGGCCCAGAAAGACCCAGAGAGCTGTAAATGGCACCACCTAGAGGACAGTTTTCATAACAGCAGAAAGATTTTGTTAAACTGAGCTTTTGAGTAAAAGGAAGGTTTCAGGACCAACATGTTGAAGATGAAAAACCTGTGCGAGACACAATAATTTCTTCTGACAGAGAAAACACCCTCTGTTGAAAAAAATCCACCTTAAAGCTATTCTATATTAAGCAGAGTACCTCACTGACATCTTTCCTTTATCAAGCTCAGAAAATGCAGCTAGGTGATTGTCTGGCTCTATTTACATCCATCTATTTTGTATCTATCCAAATCAGCATTATCATGGGAAGTATAGCATTTCACAGTTTGAAGGACATTCAGATCACACTAGACTTGCACCTCCTAAAAGCCTGGCCAGATGGGAACTACAAATTATTTTTTAGTTGTTATCCATAGCTATGATTTTTGAACATTTTTATTAATGTGTATTGTTCATATTAATAGGATTCATTGTGATGTTTTCATGTATGTACATAGCATGCACTCACCAACCTCCTTTGTTCACCCTCCTCCTCCACATACACATACCCTTCCCAGACTTTAGTAGTCACTATTTGACTTTTTTTAGTTTTTGCATATGAGAGGGTACATGCAGTACTTGTCTTTCTCTGTCTGCCTACTTCATTTAATATTCTTCATTTTCATCCATTTTGCTGCAAATGACAGGTTTTCATTCTTCTTTACAGCTGAGTACTACTTCATTGTGTATATATACCACATTGTCTTTATCCATTCATCTGTTTGGAGCTATTTTTAAGCTGGATATATTGGTGTTTCCTACAGAGAAACTCATGTGTTTGATAAACAAATGAGCTAATGGATGAAAAAGTACTAAACTCACAACTGTGATCCTTTTATCAAGGATAACTTAGTATAGGAATTTCCCTCCTGTCCTTAAGTTATTACAAACAGAAGTTACCGTATGCCTCAAGACTCACTGGCTTTGCTGAACTCAAATCAAGACCAAGGGTCTTTGGCCTGCAGAAGTAGTGTACTTTTGTTGTTGTTGTTTTTGTGTTTGTTTGAGAAAGGGTCTCACTTTTGCCAGGGCTGGCCCCAATCTTCTGGACTCAAGCCATCCTCTTGCCTCAGCTTCCTGAGTAGCTGAGACTAGAGGTAAACAACACTGAATCTGGCAAAGTGTTACTTTTGACTCTTGAAATCAGGCTTATTATCTCAGATAACAACACTTCCAACCAAGTGTTTACTCCCCATTTCTGCATCATTTGGATCAATTTATACACCCCATTTAGTAACATGTCATACCTATGGACACTGGAAATGGGCCTTTTACCTAATACAACAAGAAGAGGACTGGATTTTAGAATTAAATATATTGGGGTGATCAAGGCAATTATTTGTCTCTTATTCTTTACTTCCATAATTCTAAATCAAATAATCACTTATACCTTTTACGATTTTCATGTAAAGCTCAAAAGGTCAAGATTTTTATGTTTTCTTCACTAGGGAATGTAGCACTTAGAAAAGTGCCAGGATACAAGAAAGGCTCAATAAACATATGCTGAATGAATGAAAATTAGGTTTTCTAATAAAAGAAATCACATATTGGCCACATGGCAGTTGCTGCATTTTTTTTTTTTTGTCTTAGCCAGATGGTATCTACCAAATCTTAACTCCCCCTGTAAAATGTTCTTCAACCATGGGCTTCAAAATTTTACCTCAGATGGAAAATCAGCCATCACTAAGGTATCAAGAAACCTGGGATGCAACATTTTCAAAATCCATGTAGAAACATGTATTAATTCCATCCAAATCAACTTTGTAGGAAAGTTGATATTTATGTCATCAATTTATTTCAAGCATGTTATACCTTAGAGATCATGACACAATGTTATAGTCAAAGTGTTAATTGCTCGATGTGTGATAAATTAATTAAACAGCACATGCTGATGCAAAACACATAAGTGATTAAAATGGCATTATTTTGTTTTCTCGATGATTGAAATAGTATTAATATTAACCTTTCAATTAGTTGTTATTCTTGCACATTTTTCAACCAGTCCATTCTAAATTTTATCAAGATGTGAAAAAGCAGCTGTGCATGGTGGCACATACCTGTAATCCCAGCGGCTCAGGAGGCTGAGGCAGGAGGATCGTGAGTTCAAAGCCAGCCTCAGCAACAGCAAGGTGCTAGCTAAGCAACTCAGTGAGACCCTGTCTCTAAATAAAATACAAAATAGTATTGGGGATGTGGCTCAGTAGTTGAGTGTCCCTGAGTTCAATCCCCAGTACGCCCCCCCAGTAAAAAAAGATGTGAAAAAGCTAGTAGTTTTTCAACTTCAGAAAAATACAAAATGTCCTCTTCCTACCATAAAATTAGAAAAAGAAAATCTCTCATTTTTTTTCTCCCTTTCCTACTTCCACGTAAATCTACTTGAGCCACAAAATTTCTATAAGGACACTTTCAGGTTTGTTAGTATAGTTCCATCTTTCCATCCTGTAAACTCCCCCTGTAAAATGTTCTTCAACCAGAGCTTGTCTAAGAGTCAGATTTGTGGTGAGTCCATTGGACAATATGGAATGGAACCTGGAATAAGGTCAAGAGACTGGGAAATTTTTCTTTGGCTTAGGCTCAGATATGGCTCAGTACAGAACTATTAATCTAAAATTTTGATAATTTACTCATTGTGTATTCTTTGTGGTAATTTTTTAAATTTATTTTTTAGTTATAGGTGGACACAGTATCTTTATTTTATTTTTATGTGGTGCTGAGGACTGAACCCAGGGCCTCATGCATGCTAAATGAGTGTTCTACCTCTGAGCCACAACCCCAGCCCTGATTTTTTGTTTTTAAAGTATTGTATTACTTCAGTTTTGTATTATAGTGAGGTTATTTTCTTTTTTCTTGTTGTTGTCATTGTTGTTAATGCTGTTTTCAATTTTGCACCCAAAGCAAGTGCTTTGCCCTATCCAGGTGCTGGTATATAATTTGCACCCAAGAGATTTGGCATACAAACTTGTCACTCTAGAGAAGGAATCAACTTCAGGGGGTTATCCATTTATTACTGCCTAAAAATATGTATTATTGCTGCCTGTGGAGCTGAAACAAAAGAACTGGGTTGAGAAGTCATTGATTGTCCAAATAGAAGCAGTAGAAGCTTCTATGACCTCTAAAAATATGTGGTTGGGACTGGGTTTGGGGCTCAGCAGTAGAGTGCTCATGTAGCACATGCAAGGCCCTGGGTTCAATCCTCACACCACATAAAAATAAGTAAATAAAATAAAGGTATTGTGTCCAACTACAACTAAAAAATAAATATTAAAAAATACACGATTTTCAGGAAAATCAAACAAAAGAAAATGATGAGAAAAATGTGGAAAATATCGTTGTTAGTCTCAGTAGTTGGCTTACATTGATAAGCAAGCATTGTGGGCTTGGATGTAGCCCAGTGGTAGGATGTACTCTTTGCCCATGCAAAGCCCTGAGTCCAATCCCCAGCACCACAAATAACAGCAACAACAAAACAAGCAAAGACTGTGGACCACAGAGACCTAAGATGCCATGTGATCCAGGGAATTTCTTTAAATCCAGGAATCATTTCTTTAAAATAAAACCCACTAGAAAACCAGTCTATAGAAAGGTTAAATAAGACACAAGCCTACAGATTAGGGAAGGGACAACATGGAATCCCCACTCCACTTCCTTCAGGCCACTTTTCAAAACCTGAACACATTTTGTGTCACATTTTAGAAGTGTCACATCTAGAGAGTCTATCCATTGATCCAGGTTATAAAGCCCAGAAGTGGCAGAGGCAGGGCTAGAGCTAATTTTTAATTTTAATTTTATTTTCCTGATACCCTTTTCCTTAATCTGAAATAGTCTTAGAAGAAATTATATTTATTTGGTCTCCAAGTTTCCTGGTCTCACAATAAATACTCAGGCTGGAAGCGTAGTACAGTGGTAGAGCACATGAGGCCCTGGGTTCTATCCCCAGCATTAGGAGGGGGGAGAAAAAAGTACTCATCTTTTTTGAAAGGATTGCTGTTTACTTAATCTTTTACCTGTTCTTAGGAAGCCCATAGCCTACTGGCACATGGCTCTGTCAGAGGGATTTGCATTTCCAATCATATCAAAGCCTGAGGTTAAAACAGTGGTCTGACCTCTGGCTGCACATTAGGATCACCTGGGGAGCCTTTGAACAACACTGGAAGCTGGATTCTCACCCCAGATATTTGGATTTTATTGGTCTGGGATGGGGCTTGGTATATATTTAGTAATTTGTATGCCCCCAGGCATTCCAATGTGCAGGCAAGATTGAGAACAACTGAGTTACATTAATAAAACTAATGATATGTGTAGCCTTCAGCCAGAGCTGGATAATGCAGACATAATTATCTACTCCAAGTAGGAAGTAAGGCCAGTTCTGTTTAGCACTGGGCTGGTCCTAGAATCTGTGCACTGGAAGGAAGTTAGCCCCCTAGCCACCCCTCCCACTGCCACTGTCCTTCAGAACTGTAGACATTTTTTTGTTTAAGTTTCCCTTATTTTCCCATTAATTTCTTAATCTTCTCACAAGTAAGTCTTCTTCCCACCCCTGACCCCACCTCTTACCTACCCAGAGGCAACTGGTGTTACTAGTTCCTTTGGCAGTCTTCCAGAAACATATGTGTATACACCAAATATTTCTTTTAGGTCTGGGAGTGTATCTCAGGGGTAGAGCACTGTCTAGCATGCATGAGACCCTGGGTTTGATTCTCAGCACTGAAAAAAATATTTTGTTTTTTACTTTAGTTATACAAATGGTTCCATAGTGTACTAATTTGGTTTTTCCACTCACTATGTATCAGAAATGGATCCATATTATGCACATGTTCTTTTTGACATTGCAGAGTATCTTATAGATTCCCTACAAGTTCTTAACCAATCTATTATTGATGGATATTTGTTCCTAGTATTAAGCTACCTTTATAATAAATATTTATGAACTTAGTTCTTTGGTCATCCCATTAATTTTTTTCATTTATTAAATATGTTTCAAATTTTATTTTAGTGCCTGTGTGGTGTGCCACTGTTTAAGTTTATGATAATCTGTTCAAACAATATTGTATTATGAGATATTTATGCTGTTCTCAATTATTTTTCATTATGAATGATGTTGCAACAAAATCTTTGTATATAAATTTCTGTGCTCATATTCATAAAAAAATATAAATTCCAGAAAATAGAATTATTGGGTCAAAGGACATACACATTTTAAGCCTTTTTTTTAAATATATATTTTTTAAGTTTTAAAAGGACCTTTATTGTATTTGTTTATATGCAGTACTGAGAATCAAACCCAGTGCCTTACACATGCTAGGCAAGCCTTCTACCCCTGAGCCACAGCCACAGCTGCCATTTGAAAGCTTTTGATAAATAGTCTCAAATTTTTCTCTAGAAAGTTGGTTGCAATTAATACCTACCAGCAATGTATGAAAAGTCCCATTCCCTCATCTTTGCTCAACCACAAGTACTAGCTTAAAAATTATGGATCAATAACTGCTTAGGAGGCTGAAGCAGCAAAAGTTTGAGGCCAGCCTCTGCAAATTAATAAGACCCTGTCTCAAAAATTTTTTTAAAAGTGTTGGGGATGTATGGCAGTAGTAGAGTATGTCCCTAGCATGTGGGAGGCCCTGGGTTAAATTTTCAGTACAGGGGAAAGGGGAATATGTGTTCATATACAGATGGATTGGTTTAAGTCAATGCTTTGAAATTATTGATTTTTTTCTAATTGTAATCTTGAGTATTTCTTCATCATTATAAGCTACTTTGAGGCTTTAATAATTTTAGAGATTTTTATAAAACTATGTATCTATCTAGAAATTATAATAGCCATTATTTAAACTAAATAATAAACCCTCAAAACTGAGTTTAAAATGTTGAAAGTAATTTTATTTTAGGGGGTTCTCATAAACCCCTACTTTGAGTGAATAGTCTACTTCATGAAAAATCCCAAATAGTCCAGGCTTTCTTTTAACACAAATTTGCCAGACACCAAAGTTTAAGTATATCTTAAGCTTGCTCTACGTGTATTTTTGTCACTTTATTCTGCAGATGATAAACACCCTTTTAACTCTTTGCATCTAGGGGTGTAGCTTTCCCAAAACGAATAAAATTTTACTGGCTAAATCATCCTTTTAATTCACAGGAAATTCAAGGGAAGAATCTATTCATTAAGCTTCAAGAGGATTAGGTCCCAGCAGAGACATTTTCAGGGATCAAGGGATAGATGTTACTGATTACCCCAAGGGGTGGGTAGAGGGGAATTGTACCCAGAAGGAAAAGGAGTCCTATTTAATATTAACTTCATTGTGTCACAGGCTATGTGCTGCATCTTTGCTGCTGTACGTGTGGGGAAAATTCTCAAATATTGTACATTTGAATTGATCTTAAAAAGTAAGATCCCAATTAAGTAAGGGTGATACAATAACCTGGGAACCTTTACACTGCTTAAATTTTTCTAAAGTCATCACACACCATTTCTCTTGGACTCTATGTCCTGCCAAATGATTAGTATCTGAAGGTCTGGAATCACTCAAATGCACCTAAATTATGGTTAGAATTTACCTG